TGGAATTTTTTTTTTTTTTTTTACTGCTGATACATACTGTAATTTATCCTCTATAACCAGAAAACACTGTGATCTTCAGATTTTTTTTCATGTTTTATTGTGAATTATGATATTTTACGTGAGAGAATTTTAGTTTTACATTCATTCCATCGTATATCATCTCATTACCATGGTTCCAATCCCCTCTATGCATCATCAACCGACCGAAGGGTAAGAATTATGGAAATTTTTATCAACAATTACTATAAACTTGTTGTTAACTGCCGTCAAGTCTGTTCCGACTCATAGCCACCAAGTATAGGGTTTCCAAGGAGCAGCTGGTGAGTTTGAACCACCGACCTTGTGTTCAAAGTGAAACTGCAGTCCAGTGCTTTATCCCACAACACCACACCAGGGCTCCACTATAAACTTAAAAAGACTCATTTCAGCTGTCTTTGAAAACTGATTTATACCTTCTTTCTTTAGAAGTGACAGTGTCCGTTATGAGATAAAAGTTGTGCTATGATTTCAGAATACATCATTATTATTTTTTATAATTACTGATCTTCATGACAGAGTTTATATTGTTATTTTTCTCTAAGCGTTAGATAAGAATAAACAAATGTATTCCAGATATTACAGAATTTAGTTTCAAAAAAGAAAAAAAATCTGCTTAGGAAACCTATTTCACCACTGATTTTTATTATTTCTCTTACTCTCATAAAACAGAGTTTATTTAGATTTCTCATTGTAAATTATAAGCATGTTTATTTTCCTGTTTTTAATGAACACAGATAGCCATTGCTTGTTATTCTAGAAAGGCTTTTTTTTGTTTGTCTGTTTACTTAATGATGTGAGTTCTCTGTAGGGTTTTGACTGGCTGAGTTTCAGAAGCAGACTGCAAGGCCCGTTTCTGTGGACTTGATTGTTGTTAGGTGCCATCAAGTCGGTTCAGACTCATAGTGATCCTGTGCACAACAGAATGAAGAGCAGCCTGGTCCAGCCCCATGGCCCCATCCTCACACTATGCTATGTTGGAGACCACTGCTGTTGCTACTATGCTGAACTGTTTTGTTGGGGGGATTCTTTTTCTCTGACTCTCCACTTTACCTTCATCAGTGACTGGTGCCTCCTGATGTTATGTTCGAAGGATGAGAGACTAAATTTGGCTATCCTGGCTGTACATATTGCAACACAAATTTATTTATTCTTCTGGCAGTCCATGATACTTTGAATATTCTTCTCCAACACCATAACTCAACTCATCCATTCTTCCACAGTCATCCTTACACATCGTTTTGTATAGTTCTAACAGTCATTTTTGTGTGATCTAAATAGACATATACAGAATATATATATATATATAATACATGTATTAACACAATGGCTCTGTAGGATAAGTACTGGACTATGAACCACTCCATGGCAAAAAAAGGAAGCTTTCTGTTCCTGCAGACATATATAGCCTCAAAAACCCTAAAAAGAGTCCCATGAGTTGGAGGAGATTCAATGGCACAGCGTTGTGTGTGTGTATACATTATATATATATATATACACACACACATAATATAAAGAGCTCTGGTAGCGTAGTGGTTACGTATCAAACTGCGAACCTTAAGGTCAGCAGTTCGAAACTACCAGCCGCTCCGCGGGAGAAAGATGAGGCTTTCTGCTCCCGTAAAGATTTACAGCCTCGGAAACTCTGTACAGGGTCGCTATAGGTCAGAACCGACTCAACCGCACTTAACAACAACAATACATAATGTATATATGAAGCTGCTCGTGGTGGTTGTTGAGTCAATTCTAACTCTTGGCAACTTCTTGTGTGCAGACTAGAACAGATCCAGAGGGTTTTTTAAGCTGCAACCTTTTGGAAGTAGATCACCAGGTCAGCTTTCTGAGGCACATTAGGGTGGGTGCAAATCACAAATCTCCCAACTAGCAGCTGACCACACAGACATGTGTATACACACACACACCTACTTTTTGGACTAAGAAGCCAAGTTATTCTTTGCATGGAAAGATCCAAAGGCCATTTCTCCGGTGACCCTTCCTTAACTGTTCTCCTAAGATGCAATAGAATGCCTATATATACAGACATAACATTAGGTGCAGTAGATTTTTCTTCCAGAGGTCAAAGAGGGAATGTTGTTAAGGAGCTCTGGTAGCGTAGTGCAGACATAACATTAGGTGCAGTAGATTTTTCTTCCAGAGGTCAAAGAGGGAATATATACTATAAAATGCCTTATTGCTTGCTGGCATAGTTATTGTTTTAACCCTTTCAAAAAATAAAACCTCATTTATGTGCCATAAATAAATCTAATCTTCTCACTCCTCTCTCCTCATTGGTAATCCTCATCTTGGCAATCTTATTTCATGCTCACTGGGTTTTAGTTTTCACATTATATTTATTTTTAAGCCTAAGCTCCTGTCAAATTGACATTTCTTCTCTAGTTTGTCCCTGGGATATTTTATTTACCACAAAATTGCTGTGAGATAGTGTCCACACTGCCAAATGAAGTGAAGAGACAATTATCATCAAGCTTAGACCCCCTCCAACCCCTGTCCAAATGGGGGTTTAGCCTGAGTTCTCCAGGCTACGGGTTAGAATGCCCATGGCACAAATATGTGTAAAAGGATGGAGCTCTGAAGACAGGTCTTTGACATTTAGCCCACAGGATATGCCATCTTGGCTGTCTCTTTCTATTCACTTGCTAACCCATTTCGTCAGAACATGTGGATTGAAATACCAGGGACAGGCACCAACTGTGTCAGGCCCTGAGAAGACGTAAAGGAGTACCACTATCCTTGCCCCCAGCTTCTCTGAGCTAAGAAAAGACCTGAAGTCCCAAGGTGGTACAAATATTTAAGTATACCCAGATGCCTTACACTAAAGGCCCGGAGATCGATTTCCAAACATGAGTCACTGAAAATCCAATGGAGGACAGTTCTGCTCAGAGACATATGAGGTCGCCATGAGTGGGTATTGATGCCACAGCAACTGGGTAGGGGTGAGGCCAGGGTGTTGTGGGAAGGAAGAGGGCACAACTGCAGGCCTGTTTGAGCACAACTTTGAGAGGAGGAAGGTTTTTCATTCACCAGGTGAAAATGAGGGAGCAAGGCTTTTAGGCAAAAGAACCACAGCATCTAATCTAAGATACTCTCTTGTTAACCCCTGTGTATTTGTCTTCTAAACCAGGGTGAAAAAGAGATCCAGTTTAACAGGAGCCTTTAAACTGGACCCCCTTTACCTGAAGCATAGTCACCAAGATTCAGGTAAACTCACGCTCTTGCTTTTTATAAGCTGTTGTATTTTTCTCAGAGCTGTTCATGCAATGTCTAGAAAACAGGAGAGGAACATTTATACCCTGTGGTGATTGGGTGGGAACAGAAGCAGTGCCTAGCTTTTCTTCCCTATAGGGTGGGTTGGTCATGATACCTTGGACTTCTGTGAACACACAGAACCTGGTGCTCACAGCCGGTGCAGGAGCAAGGGAGAATGTGAACAGGACCAAAAGGAATATGGATATCTCAGACATGTAAGGGAACATCTTTATAATGACTGCCCTGATGTGTTTCTGAAAAAGGATTCCTGCCAACTTCTGCCAATACCACAAAGAAAAAATGACGTAACCAAGAAAGTTGGGCAGGGGAGTGAATAGAAATCCAGATGGAGCCACAGGTAGAACTGGCATACAAAATGCACATTGCATTCAGTGATCCCGGCCATGGGACAGCGAATGAGGCACAGTGCCCATTCAAGTGTTGAGTGCAGAAACATGCCAGCAGACACTGGTCAGACAATGACCACCATGATGAGTCCGATGGCAGAGTGAGTGTGAGTTGCTCTAGAGGTCACATCAGGGAACTGTATAGTTGGGAGAGGAAAGCCTCAAATTTGGCTTTAGGCTTCCCGGTGACATGAGGTATACAAGTCACGGTGACTTTAAGGACTAAGGATCAGCGTGCTCCCTGGTAGGAGAGACGTATTTCTCCAGTGACTCCTCATAAAATGCTCTTCTTCGATGCAACAAAATGTCTATCAAACATAACATGACTACTTCCTCTAGGCACTGGTTTTTTCACATGGACTGTACCTAGCTCAATGACAGAGTTGCGGTTACAGTGAAGTAAAATCATGACCACAGGAAACTGTTGGCTGAGAGGGTTTTAGCATTCTTTATGTTGAAAGAGAACAATTGTCCAAGGACACTTCTAAATTGAACCAAATTCTTCAAGCAGATTCATTGAGAAGAAACTCCATCTTTCACTATTTAAATTGTTTGGCTGTTAATACTACTGGAACAAAACCTTCTACTTGAAACCCCATTGCACAGTTCTACAGAATTTTCTGCATTGAAGGAAATGATCTATAGTACTTGGACTTATGGTGTGGCACTGTGGATCAGTACTGGACTGCAAACCACAAGGTCGGTAGTTCAAACCCACCAGCTGCTCCTCGGAAACCCTATATAGGGTCGCTATGAGTCGGAACTGACTCGATGACACTTAATAACAATTATGCACTTGAAACATGGTTAATATGACTGAAGAGCTTAATCTTTAGTTTAATTTCACTTTAATTAAATTTAAATAGCCACAGGTGGCTAGTGGCTACCTTACTAAATGGTGGTGGTAGTTGTGTGCCGGGGAGTGGGTTCTGACTCATAGCGACCCTGTATACAGTTTCTGAGGCTGTAAATCTTTATGGGAGCAGACAGCCTCATTTTTCTCCCACGAAACAGCTGATAGTTCTGAACAGCTGACCTTGAGGTTAGCAGCCCAATTCATAACCACTATGCTACCAGAGTTCCTTATATTTAATGGTGAAGCTATATAAAATTAAAAAGAGGATCATTCATTCCTTTTTACTCATGACAGTCATCTGGCTATTAAACCAAGTTTTATTGAGCACCTATTACATATCCACCAGTTACTCCGTGAGAGAAAGATGAGGCTTTCTGCTCCCAAAAAGATTTATAGCCTCGGAAATCCTATGCAGATATCACTGAGTCAGAACTGACTTGAGCGCCTACAACAGTATTATTGCATGTCAAGGGCTTTTTTGGTGCTGTTGTTTTATTTCCATTGTTCCCTATGAATTACTGTCTGATTACTCTGTTCCCTGTGTTATATTTACTTAACAGCAGGGATCCTCAGGAGAGGCCACAAGGTCTACAGAAAAGAGCATGGCTTTAAGAGGTGATCTCTGCTGTGTAACTTTGGACTCCCCTGTGAAAGTCACTCACGAAACAAGGGGGTCGGGCCTGAAGACCCACGTTTTTCTCTCGTTTCTAACATTTTATGACTCAATTTGCAAAAATCTCACACTTGTCTGTCAGTTTGTTACACTGTGGTGGCTTAAATGTACTACAAGTTATACCCCTGGCGTTTCAAATGGGGACATTCACAGGGACAGGTTTTAGCAGAACTTTCAGACAGGCTAAAAAGAAAGGCCGGGTGATGTATTTTTGAAAATGAGTTGAAGAGAAGCCCGTAGCTCACAGCTGAATATGACCCACTGTGTTGCTGGGAGGCACTCCAAATACTAATGGACTACAACAGTGGACTGAGCCATATTAAAGACTGACTTGGAAGATGATGCAGGGCCAGCCAATGTTTTGTCCTGTTGTACACACGGTTGCCATGAGTCAGAGCTCAACTGCTGGCAACAGCGGCAGCAGCAATTGAGAAAATGCCTGGCAGAGGATGGTAGTCAGGGAAGCAAGACAAGCTGTTCCCTGTAAATATCACATAGACCCACCTGTGCAGTGGATCAGAAACAGTCTGTAAGGGTAAGCAGAGGATTGCAGGAAATGGACAGCTTGTCACTGCTGATCGCGGTTAGGGCCTTCTTAGAGCCACACCAATTACCATTACGTAGGAGGTAGGAGATGTTGTGTACAAGTTGTGGTGTTCTTAGTGTGCCTTGCCTGGCCTTCAGTAGAGGGTCGGACTTTCAAAACAAGTGACAGCCTCTGTCCTAATTATTATAGCAGGACTGCAGCCCACCTTCATCATTGTCACCTCAATCCTGACCCCAAAATGACTCATCTATTGAATCCCGGATAATTAAAGTGATTTAGCAGATGATCACTGAGTATCCACTTGGTGCTGAGTACTGGAATGAATTCTAAGAATGCAGACATGAAGCTTCCTGCAAAGAGATGGAGTCTTTTTTATATTTTAATCATTTTTTACATTAGAAAGTCATAGTCGCACGCATGAAGGGATGAATGATGACTTGTTGGCATGACCAGAATTCTAACTGACTACTGGGCACTAGAAAAATCTCAGATTTTCATTCTGATGTAATACAGATGGCAAGACTAATGACAATCCATTAATAGTTGAGCATTTCCAATTTGTGTTTAGGGTATCATGCATTCAGGGGACTTCCTTAGATCTGTATGTCTGAGAAGTGCCACAAAGTAGAGTGACACAAAAGAAAACCCTGCCTCAGTCCTCTGAGAAATTTGCATGTGACTCAGGAGACAGCATTTAAAACATACAAAGTTTACCTTGAAGAGAGCGATATTAAGCATATAACTGAGGGCAATGATAATTGAGTGGTAGAATTCTTGTCTTCCATGTGGGAGACCCAGCTTAGCTCCCCAGCCAATGAAACTCCTCCGCCGCCGCCAGTGTCTGGTCCTGAAGCCTTGTGTGTTACTAGGATGCTGAATGAGAATCACTAGGATGAATTAGGAAGAAAAGTCTGGCAATCTATTTCTGAAAATCAACCAATGAAACCCCTGTGGATCAAATGGTTTGAGCTGCAACTGATCATGGGGGTGGTCTAGGACTGGACAACTTCTGTTTCCAAGAGTCAAGGCCCAACCCTAAGGCCGCTAACAACTATGCCAAGTATTTAATGAACAAGTATGTCTAACCGTTTCGTTTTCTCTCTTTTTTTAGGACTTATCACAGATTACAGGGTAAGTGGAATGTTTGGGTCACAAAGCTCCAAATTAGTTGTGATCCCAAATGTAAGTGTAATGCTAGTTGTTAGAAGTCTTGGGGCCTCCCATTACTCAGAATTACACACACAACCACATTCCAACTCAGTCCTAACTGATAAAGTAGACGAGGCTCCAGTGGGCACCTTGTTGAAGGTCACCAATCAGGGGTTTTGCATCAGAAGGAAGCCATCTTTGTGCTCCCATGGAGAGAGGAAGGAACTTCTGAACTTAAGACTGCTTTGCAAGACAGGGGCTCCATTACTTGGGTCTCAGTTACATAATGTTGCTGAGGGCCTCAGACTGCTCTCCTGAGGATAATGGGAAAGATGAAGCATCAGAAAACATAAACAGTGCTCAGATGGAGTAGGGTCTCCGCGGCCTTTTTGTAACTGTCTTGGTTTGTTGTCCTTTATATTTTATATTAGTATTTAATAAAGTTTATTTTGAAAACACCAGGCTGTACTAGCCTTACTCTAGAAGAGAGTTTGTGACTAAAATGTGTTGTTCTTTGGTGCTGTTGAGTAGGCCTGCCCATAGTGACCCCATAGAAAATGGGCCCACACAGAAAGCAAAAACCCTACTACTGAACCAATACTGCTTCCACAAATACACGTTGTTGTTAATGTTGTTAAGCACTGTTGAGTTAGTTTCAGCCCATAGTGAACCTGTATAGGGTTTTCAAGGAGCACCTGGTGAGTTTGAGCCACTGCTGTTGTGGTCCAGTACTTACCCTACAGTGCCACACCAGGACCCCTGATGCTGTTGGTAAGTACCATTGAGTCTATTCCGACCCATAGCGACCCAGTATAGGGTTTCTGAGGAGTGGCTGGTGAACTTGAACTGCCAACCTTGTGGTTCAAACTAAATTTGCAGTCCAGTTCATTAACCCACAGCGCCCCCTTTGAAACCAACTGTAGAGGTGGGAGTGTAAATAAAAGAAGAGAATCCATAAAATGATGAAAGTCAGGGAAAAAAGAAGTGAGGTCACTAGACCATCTGCCCCTACCCATCAAGAGATTGTCTGTACCAGTTCTTTTCTGACAATCTAATCTCAGGTTTTCATTCAGATGTAACACGGATGGCAGGACTAATGACAATCCATTAATAGTTGAGCATTTCCAATTTGTGTTTAGGGTATCATGCTTTCAGGGGACTTCCCTTAGATCTGTATCCCTGAGAAGCGACACAAAGTAGAGTGACACAAATGAAAACCCTGCCTCAGTCCTCTGAGACTCAGGAAACAACATATGTGGGTCATCCCATAGTGGTGAGTGGGAGATTTTAGAAGTAACAAGTATTGTTCTGGAGAAAGATGCTGGAACACTTGAGGTACGAAGCAGCCTAGATATGTAAGCTTCAGTTCCCTCCTTACTTGTAAGCAGAGAAACCAGTGAAAGACTCCCTCCAGATTTTAAACTCCACAAGACAGAATCCTATATTCTGTGTGCACTCACTTTGATACCCCCCAATTTAGGAGAGGAGTCCTGCTGTGGTCCTGTGGGCTAATGCATCAGACTGCAAAGTTGTTTGAACTGCAAGGTTGGTGGTTCAAGCTCACCAGCTGCTCCTTGGAAACCCCATATTGGGTTGCTATGGGCCAGAATTGACTTGGTGGCACTTAACAACAACAACAACAATTTGGGAGAGGAGTCCTGGTGTGGCGCTGTGGGCTAATGTGCTGGACTGCGAAGTCGGTTTGAACCGCAAGGTCGGTGGCTCAAGCTCATCAGCCACTCCTTGGAAACTCTATACAGGGTCGCCTTGGGTGGGAATTGACTCAACAGCACTTAACAACAATACTTGAGGAGACTTCCAGGTGCTAAGATGCACTCAGTTGACACCCTTTGAGTGGTATAAGCACCTTCCAAGACAACAGTCCCCAGTGTTTACCAATGCTTTTGATGTTTTGAAAAGAAGCCTTTTGCATCTGCTACTGTTCAACCTGCTTATCAATGGTCGGTTTTTCATCCAACATGAGCCATGGCAGCCTAGGGAGATGGCTTCCAAGGAATTAATTGCTTCCAATAGCGTAGTGGTTACGAGTTGGGATGCTAACCTCAGAGTCAGCAGTTCGAAACTACCAGCTGTTCTGTGGGAAAAGATGAGACTTTCTGCTCCCATAAAGATTTTACAGCCTCAGAAACCCTGTACAGGGTCGCTATGAGTCGGAAACGATTCCACAGCACATGACAACAAACAACAACAAGAGAAATAAGTGAATTCATGAGTCAAAAAGAGAAACAACTTGTAATAAATTTCTCTCTAATGCACTGATTTTTGCTTTTATTTCAGCACTGGCAACTGCCACTGGGCCGAAGATTTCGCTCCTTAAAAATGTGGTTTGTGTTTAGGATGTATGGAGTCAAAGGACTGCAGGCCTATATTCGCAAGGTGACATTAATTTTATTACTCATCTGGGTAATGTTACAAGGTCTTAGAGGACTATATAAGTGAATTAAGATTTTTAAAATAATTGAATATACTATAAGAGACATGATAATTTGACTTATTGTGATTAGAGAATCTATAAATGGTTTGAAGCACTACTTTTAAAGTAGTAAAGTCTTTTAAAGCACTTCCATTAAGAAAAACAGGCTATCAGTTCCAGAAAGACTTGCAGAATAAATACACCATGTAGATTTTACTTTAGTCACATTTCACAGTGAGGTATATTCAGTGACAGCAATAGAGCGAAGATACTACTTTTTTCTTTACAACAAAAGGATCAGGCTAGGAGAACCACAAAGTCAGACTGGAAACTTTAAATATTCAGTCCAGGAAGTCTCAAAAGGTAAGCCAGAATCAGCAGCAGCAACAGCCCCTAGGAACTGGTTGCTGTTTTTAAGTGCTGCCGTTGAGTTGGTTCTAACACAGAGTGACGCTGTAGGGTTTCCAAGAAGCATCTGCTAGACTTGAACAGCCAACCTTGTGGTTATCAGCCAGAGTTTATTCTATAGTGCCACACCATAACTCCAGGAGCTTATTAGAAATGCCAATTGCAGGGTGTGGTGCTGTATAACAAGCACCGGACTGCCAGTGGAAAGATCGTTCATTCAAACACACTAGTTCTACTTGGAAACTCTATATAGAATCCTTCAAGTTGGAAACGGACTCCATGCCCCCTAACAACAATAACCCAGAGCTACTACACCAGGTCCCTGGTGGTGAGGCCCAGCGTGCTCTGCTTCTACAAGCCATCCAGGCAGCTGTGATGCAGGCCAACATTTGAGAGCCACTGATTTAGCCCAGCCCCACTCCAAGGAGCCTGAGGCCTGACCATGTGCCAGGGCTTACCCAAGAAGCACATACTTAGCCAGACATAGAAGGCCTCCTCCCAGTCCCACATCTTTTCTAAATTGTGGCCTCTTGATGAACAGAAGTCCCCATGTTTCCCAGGAATGGTAGATGCTGTGGTGTCAATTCTGGTGGTAGTAACATAACAAGGCCTTCATTTTAAGTCCTGGCACAGCTGCTTTATTCGCTGTACAGCTCTTGGCCAGGGGCTGAACGCCTCTAGCACCTTCTCTGTGAAAGGAGGGGTGAAGGCCTATCAATGCCAGAAACTGGTATCTGTCTGCCTTACAAACTTTTTGTAAGGAAAGTAAGGATGCTGAAAAGCATTATTAGAACTTATATGATGTAAAGAGCTAGGAAATAAGTAGACATAAGTACTAATTATGAGCAAAATGCATCCTTCTGACCATTTGAGAGTAGGAGAGTTAAGGTGGATTCAGCTTCTTTGTAGAAAGAAGGCAAAAAACAAGTGCCCTGTTTCTCCATAGTGACTACATCTGTTTTTAAACTCAGGTGAAATTAGGTGTGATTATGTTGCCTAGTGGCATAATGGCTATACAATAGGTTTTTAACTGAAAGGTCAGTGGTTCAAATCCACCAATGAATCATGGGAGAAAGATGAGACTTTATGCTCCCGTGGAGACTTACAGTCCCTGGACACTTGTACAGGGTCACTATGAGTCAAATCTGACTCTATGGCACACAACATGTCACCTCACACATGTTACAACATGGATAAGTCATGAAAACATGATGCTTAGTGAAATAAGCCAGATACAAATATTGCATCATCCAATTATATGAAATATTTAGACTAGGCAAGAGTATAGAGACCAAGAATATGCAGAATGGATATTCCAGACACTTAATTTTACTTATAAGAAACCTGTACATAGACCAAGAGGCAGTCTATTAATCAGAACAAGGGAATTCAGAATGGTTTAAAATCAGGAAAGGTGTGTGTCAGAGTTGTATTCTTATACCATACACACTCAATCTGTATGCTGAGCAAATATGAGAAATGGCCTTAGAAGTGGATAAGACAACTTGTGATATGTAGAGAATACAAACTTGCATGCTGGCAATGAAGACGACTTGAGATACTTACTGCTGAAGATCAAATACTACTGCCTTCAGATTGCACTTCAATATAATAAAACAAAATTCCCCACAACTGGACCAATAAACAACATCATGATCAATGGAGAAAAGACTGAACTTGTCAAATAATTCATTTGGCTCAGATCTACAACTAACTCTCATGGAAGCAGCAGTCAAAATAATCAAACGATGTAGTGCATTAGGCAAATTTGCAGCAAAAGATGTCTTTAAAGTGTTAAAGAGCAAATATATTACTTTGAAGACTAAGGTGCACCTAACCCAAGCCATGTTATTTTCACTCGTCTCATCATATGCATGTAAAAGTTGGACAATGAACAAGGAAGGCTGTAGAATAATTGATGCATTTGAATTATGGAGATAGCAAAGAATATGGAAAGTACAATGGACTTCCAGAAGAACAAGCAAATCTGTCTTGGGCGAAGTACAACCAGAATGTTCCTTAGAAGCCAGGCTGGCGAGACTTCCTCTCTCATACTTTGAACATGTTGTCAGGAGGGATCAGTCTCTGAAGGAGGATGTAAAGCTTGATAAAGTGGAAAGACCAATTGCCCATCAGTCAGTTTGTCATGTTGTGGTGGCTTGTGTGTTGCTGTGATGCTGGAAGCTATACCACCAGTACTTTAAATACCAGTAGGGTCACCCATGGTGGACAAGCTTTTAGCTGAACTTCCAGACCAC